TGTTTGCCACCAGGCCCCGGCTGCCATTGGCCAGAGCTGCCCACGTGACCAGGAATTGGCTGCAGTTTCGCCCCAGTCTCGAGTTTAATAGAGCAAGGTCCCCATACGCCTGTTATTATCAGCATATAACAATTATAAAAAGCCCGAGAACCATCATCATCATTGCCATAAAAACTGAGGCCCTCAGATTTCTTTCCTTCTCCCCCGCCTCTTCCCTCTCCCCCCTCCCGCTTTTTAAACCCTGGGCCCTGGAAAAGCCATGAATTTTGAATTTGAGAGGGAGATCGGGTTTATAAATAGCCAGCCTTCGCTCGCAGAGTGCCTGACGTCTCTTCCCGCTGTCCTGGAGACATTTCAAACTTCATCAATCAAGGACTCGACATTAATTCCTCCTCCTTTTGAGCAAACCGTCCTCAGCCTGAATCCTTGTTCCAGCAGCCAGGCAAGACCGAGGAGCCAAAAAAGAGCATCTCATGGCCTGCTCCAGCTCCAGCCCCAGCCTCCGGCACAGCCCGGCCCCTTGGCAGCGGAATTCCCCTGGATGAAGGAGAAGAAATCGTCCAAGAAAGCTACCCAGGCTCCATCTTCTTCGTCCTCTTCTTCCCCCCCATCATCTTCCTCGATGCCGGTCCCTGCCGCAGGATCTCCTGCAGGTTCGTATAACGAGGGGGTGAAAGGGGTGTTTGCTGAAATCGGAGAGGATCCGAACAATAAACAATCTCCATCCCGCCCTGCCCCAGAGAAACCCTGCTACAAATCCCCCCCCAACAGACTTTGCCCCACACCTCCCCCGAAAACTGTCACGCAACAAAATACACAGCAGCAATGTGCACAGCCGGGGAAGGGGGGGACGGGAGGGATTTCTCCTGCCTCCTCCCCCCGCAAATAAAAGAACAAATTGCTGTAACTTTTGCGAAAGCCAAGAAAGAGAGGGATTCGGGGGAGCCGGGCTGTGCTGGCTCCAGCGGGGGGACCTGGCAGCTGAACCACAGCTCCAATTGCCTGACTTTTTTCTTTCCCAGTCCTGTATTTTTAAATTTTTATTTTTTTAATATTTTTTTTACAGCCTACAGGGGGAAAAAAAAAAACCAAACCAAACAACAAAGGTCCCTTCCAGCCCCTAAGATTCTATGATTCTATGAAACGAAATCAAACCGAAAAAAAACCCAAACAAACCCAAACAACAAAATCAACAAACCAACAAAACCAAAACCCCCAAAGAGCCCAGAGGTATAAATAGGCGGGTGGGTAACGCAGGGGCTGCTGCCAGCAGGATGGAAAGAGCGACATTACAGTAGGGAGAGGCAGCTCCCCATTGCAAAAGAAAATAAATACCCCCCCAACCTCCCCAGTGAAGCAATAGCCTCTCTCCCAGGCGCCCCTTGGCCGGGCAGCTCAGCAGCCCTGGCCAGAGACTCTCCTTCCCCAGGGACACAATGTTTAATGCACG